ATGTAAGTGGACACGAGGTGTCCAACAGCAACTACAACAAAACAAAAATGATGGTCACATCTTAGTTTTAGACTAAACAAGAGTGACCTCAAAAAAGTCTTTAAAAAAACCACGGCGATGACAGAAACGGGGAAGCAGCAAAATTACTGGTCTCATTGGTAGAAAAATAGCTCAGCACGTGCATTTATTTATGAAAACTTTGCACATTTCTTAGCTATCCTCCGCAAAACAACAACATTAAAACACTAAAATTTTCGTGGTCTGGACGGAAACCCCAATTGCAAGTTATTTGAGTTTCCTTTGGAAACTTATCAGGGCACGGACGTCAGTCAAAAGCCCATGGGTTGCAATTGCCCAGGGGGACGTTGAAACTTCGAATTGATCGGCGCATACGTTTTCAATGTGTTTACCTTTTTCCACTCCTCTTTAGTTGACATGACTTGTAGCCTTCAATACGAGACGGTTGGCTGTTTCAGGGACAGACACAGAGAACCTCGACCCTTGCCAAATTACCTGATGAATGATCGCGACGTGTTCCATAACAAATTTAGCGGGAAGCTCATTGACTGGAAGAACTGGGACGTTTATCTGCCAGACTTGGCTTGCAGATGTGCTAAGAAGGCACAACAAGAGAACATGAGCTTCTTCGGTCTGCAATTCTACGGTAAGGTTTTGCACTTCCATGAAGAAGATAGCATCTAGATAGTTCTAATAAAGTATTTAGCCAACAACGTGATACAGAATACCTGTTGATTTACAAAATCTCTCTGCGTTAAAAAAAAGTACAGCGCGCACCAGTTTCGTGGCGGTTAGTATTACTCACCGAAATTAATTCTGTGTCACGTTTAATGATGCGCCAAATTCATCCTATTCCTTGCATTAGAAGCTGCGCAAATTAACGTACATCGGCTTAAGCTTAGCACAGCGCAAACAAAATGTACCCCTTGGACGTCTGCAAACTTTATTACATCATTATGGAATGCGCAATGATTTCTCTTGATTGCCTTGGATCATTAAAGCAATTTCCAACTGAGTGTCGTAACTAATCTGGGACTGCTTTGGTTTTGCTTTGCTTCGCTTTGTGATTGGTTCAGAAAACTCGCCTCACTTTCTCAACCAATCAGACACGACTTGGCACCTTGCGTTTTCCAGCGCTTTCGGCAGCTTGGTTGTTTGTACTTTTAAGTTCTCATTGGCTCTTGAAAATGTTGTGATAACTTTGGTTTTGGTTTAACGACACAGACTCGAAAAGTGCTTCTAAGTTTCATGTGTCCTCTTTTGTGACCAATAAATTATTCCTTTCAAGGAACTTCAAGCTTTTGGATAGCGGTGCAGTCTGCTAAGGTCTTTTCCATTCAAGGATACGGTTGCTAGAAAATCCATACATTCTGTGTAGAAAATTGAGATTCTTGAGCGTATTTTATTTTCTTTTGTTTAAAAACAGGGGAGTGCTGGAGTGGAGATAATGGTCAAAACACGTTTGCCATGGATGGCCTACACAAGGCGTGTACTGACCAATGTTATCAGCCTTGTCAGCGCTACAGCAAATTCTGTGTTGGACAAAACTTTGCAAACTACGTCTACAAAATAAGTGAGCAAAATGGATTTGTTAGAGCCTTTCAATTTCTTATTCATAGATCGTTTGTAGTTATAATCTATTAAATTAAATTAGAGAGGAATCCATCGACTTTCAGAAAACATCACATTCACATGTCGCGCGAAAAGTTTGCCACATATCGAGATATTTAATACCATCTAGTTGTCTGCCTTTGTTGGCGGAAAAAGATACAATCATGCCAAAATATTTTTAGAGTACTTCATCGTTACTAGGTTTTTCAAGTTCATTGAAAAATCACATAGTTTTTTTGACATCGTACCCAATTAAAAGGATTTCTATGAATGTTGATTCCCAAAACAACTTTAAATGAATCACTCCTGTTTTTTTCGTTTTTCTTTTGTTTCTTTTTCCTTCTTTCTCTCTCCCTTTGTTGTTGTTGTTGTTGTTGCTTTTTTTTTACCCTAAATCCACTGTCTGTTTTTTTTTTTTTTAATGTACGTATTAAGAGACCGACAAATGTGAAATTGAAATTGATCCGGTTGGATGCTTTAACGAAGTGAGAAATGATCGAGCTCTGGGCGAGGAAATCTACAACGAAGTGGACCCATCCAGCCCGGTATTTGCAGGACATATGATAGACCCAAAGGACTGGAAAAATGAATTTCCCATGTTCCTCTGCAACTGCGCCCGTAATGCAAAGGCGAAGGGATACGATCACTTTGGTGTCAACAATTTTGGTGAGAAAATGCAAACGTTTTGTTATTTTTATCAAATAGACAGACAGACGTACATTCAGACAGCAAGTGGATAGGTAGGCAGGCAGGCAGACAAAGAAGCACAGATAGGTAAGCAGGGAGGCAGAGAAACAGACTGACAGACAGACAGATGGACAGACAGACAGATAGAAAGACAGACAGACAGTCAGTAAACGAACACGCAGATAGACGGGCAGACAGACAGATGGATATGAAGGTATGCAGACAAACAGACAGACAGACTGGTAGACAGTCTGTAAACGAACACGCAGATAGTCGGGCAGACAGACGTACAGATAGATATGATTATGAAGGTATACAGACAAACAGACAGACAGACTGGTTGGCAGTCAGTGGACGAACACGCAGATAGGCGGGCAGACAGACGTACAGATAGATATGATTATGAAGGTATACAGACAAATAGACAGACAGACTGGTTGGCAGTCAGTGGACGAACACGCAGATAGACGGGCAGACAGACGTCAGACAGATATGATCATGAAGGTATGCAGACAAACAGACAAACAGACTGATAGGCAGTCATCAGTGGACGAACACGAAGATAGACGGGTAGAGAGACAGACAGAGGGCTGTCAGACTAATAAACCAACATTTTAAACTTATGCTGAGTAGGAAGTCAATAGTCAAACAATAAATACAAAAAATCGTAGACATAGTCATGGACAGAAATACACATGAAACAATAGCCTGCTCACTAGGACACTGAACGGGTCAGACAAATTGGTGGATAATGAACATAGAAAACTGTCAATAGCAGACGAACCGACATACAGCAAGATAGGTAGGCAGAGAAAACAGATGTTTGTTTGATTCATATACTGACATATAAAAAAGAGCTTCTCTGGCCTTTGAGGAGGTTTCGTTTTGAATATCTACAATTTTTTAGGGATAGAACCAAGGTTTGCGTCAATATGTAGCTTTGTCGAAAATCTAAATGATTTCTCCAGAGATCTTACATCTCAAGATTACACTTTTTTAAAATCAAAATTCCTGCCTAGGGTCATGTTGGAGCGACGAAGTAGCCGCAGGGAGGTACAGTTTACATGGCGAATCTTCACTGTGCTATGAAGGTGACACCAGTAACAGTGGAGTTACTCCTTCCCAGTGCCCACACGGCTCCATGCTGTGTACCGGCGGACCAGTAACCAATTATATTTACAAGATCACGGAATCTGGAAAGTGATTTCACTTTTTCAGGCAAGTGATTTGAAGCATTTCTATTAAAACATGCTACGTAATTGACGATCTTTCCACGGGATGGTCCGGGGTAACCCTACGTCTCATATGCCACTTTGTAATCTGTAATCTGTTACCGCACAGACACAAAGCAACATAGAATCTATTTTATAAATAGAACTGAAAGGAAAGATGGTAAGTCCTGAGCTCGGTAAAGAAATAGAGAAAGATGTTTTTGGGGACTCAGAATGCTTTCTTTGTCCTGCGCTAATGACAAGACAAAAAACATATTTCTCTATGGAATCTATCAGTTAAATAAACAGCTTACGACAGCGAATTGTGGAAAAAAGGATTTAGTATTGGTGGTAGTCTCATCCTCAATTCAGGAAATTGTTCCTTGCAGAATAGATTCAAGGATTCAAGTTGTACTCACTCAATTCATGAAAACTAGAGCTGAACAACCTATTTAAATCTTTCAGATTTGTTTAATCTGACGGATGTTCATTTTAAATTTTCAGTTGCAACTTGCATCTTTTGGGAGTATGTTCCAGGGATATACAGTTTTGGTTATACAACAGTTGGAAAGTCATTTCCATACCTGAAGAAATGTATTTAAGTCCACTGTGAAAAGAATAATAAATCACATATTTAGCGGGGTTAACTAAATAGTCTTTTAGTTGTAATGGAAAGGATCAATTTTAAAGCAATTTTCAACTCCTTTAATTTTCCAAGCTGTTTTAGGGCTAACGCTCGAAACGTCAGCTTTTGTAATCGTTACGGTGGCCAATTTACCATTTCAACTTTGTTGATATATCCAAATTATTTCGTTACTCCCACCGACGCAGCCCCAAACAGTTTCTTTCGAAACTATCAGCCTTTATTCATTTGTTTTTAGATTACATTGCGTTTACTTCATTATTCAATTTGACTGGTCAAAATACTCTAGCACGATCTTCTCCACCAATCAGACGCTCGACCATTCGCGTCGCGCTTTGGTCACTCGCGATTTCCCGCGTTCCAGGCCGTCTAACTGTTTTCCTCAGAGGGTTCTTTCCCTTTTCTAGAATTTCCAAGAATGTAGGTTCTACGCAAAATCCCGCTGTAGATGTTTACAAGCGAAGGCCACTAGAAAGGACGCAGTATTTTCGAAGACATGTCGGAAAGAAGTTTAAATATATAACCTTTCCCCCTTAAAAGAATTGTCCAATATGTGTAAGATCGATGTTTTCGACACACGTGGCAAGTAAATCTGAGAAAATCTGCTGTAAAACTCCACCAGTTGGTAGGAACGAATTATTATCTAAATTCGTTGTCTGCACAAACAATATGGTCTCAGAAATGGTGCGCGACGTCCAATACATCTTGGCTGATTTCCATACGTATTGATTCGAGAAATGTAATGTAAAACCTTAAAGCCTCCAGTTGAGTTCATTGCCAAGAGTGCTTCAAACAAACCATCACCAGGTGTCGTTTTAAACTTGATCTGGTATTTCTTTCCTTGATCTGTTGGAACGTCTTTGTGTGAGCCACGACTTGGCATTATCTGGTTAGCTTCAAAAATCGCCTTTAACTCTAGTTGATGTCAAAGCTTAGCCGTGATTGGGCGAGAAATCAAAATGTCATTAATGTGCTTCACAGCCACCTTAACAGCTTGATGAACATGAGTGTGAGCAATGTCGATGGACTGCATCCGGCTTAAACAGGGACAATAAAATTCTGGGATACCAGTGTCTTCACAAGCTCTGTCATTTGGTAGCGATTCAAAAAGGCTTGCACCAACGGTATCCATTTCAACAAAAGTTTTCTTTGGAAATGTTAACAGATGCTTCATCGTTTTGTAGAGATCGAACGGTGATGTTATGATCCGGGAATTCCTGATCAGTGCTGCCATTTGCACCGGATAACTGCGTTTGAACCAAGCAGGGAAGGTCAAAGAAAGAAATGGAAGCCGATGTTCGAGTTTGCCCTGAGGACTATCACGTATAACACCATATGTGTAGGGACCATGATCACCCATTGTAATGAACAAAGTGTTGTTAAGAAGACTATTGTTCTTTAATGATTCAAAAAATTCCACAAATCCGTCATCCCCACCACTAAGAAGATTAACCGTGCGATGGCAGAGGTCTGACAAAAATACGAAACCAAATTTTCTTTTTCCAGGATAGGACTTCATGAAGCTCTTTAGGTACTGCAGTTGCAGCTTGTACTGTGCAAGGGAGTGCTTGCAGAGGCCACCATCATACAACCACCACAGGGATCTTCCATAATGGTCAGTGGGTTGTTCATTGAATCCTTTCAGTCGAAAGTGAAATGCTCCTGAGGGATACAAAAACTGAGCTCTTTTCTTTGCTTGGATAACACCATATAAAAAAGTGATTGATTTTTTTTTCGATGGATAGTATCTAAATAATGTCCAGTAAAATTCACTCAAATTGCAGTCAAAAAATCATACAATTCTGATCTTCGCCGTCACGAAGTATATTTCTAAAAAATTCAAATTAAATGTTATGGTTTACGACTGCAAAGATTTACACAACCTTTCGAAAAGTTTTTTTCAAATAAGCTAAGAAATTTCGACCACGGACGCCGCCATTTTGAAAACAGCTCAGTAACCTGGCGACGCAAACACCAGATTACTGTATCCACGTTAAGAGGTTTAAGGAACTCATTGCAAAACCTCATTTTTCAATCAAAAGTACCTTTCTATTTTAGTTCCCAGTTTTTTTAACGATCGCTATCTATCGCTATCTATCACTTTGTGGGAGTGTTACGCAGAGGAAAGCGGTCATATTCAAAAAGTCGGCATACAAAAGAAATTTTTGCCATTTTCCAAAGAAAATTCAATTATGCCTAGAGCGTCTTTCGAGGCTGAAAACGAGTCCAGTGTTATAATTGCACACAAAATTTTTAATACTGGAGATAAAATCACATAATTTCGGCAGAATGCTTCCACTTGAAACCGATTTACCTATAGATGGCTGATCTTCACTCCACATTGTAGGAATTCCGAGGGTTTTGAGATCTTTAAATATAAATGGCCACTCGTCAACTACTCCAGCATTCTTAAAACCTTTCCTTGCTTCCTTGAATGCGCAGTTTTCCGCCAGTGACTTGCCAGTTAGGAAGGCAGACAAAGCTGGTGCTGTATTTTCTCCGACTATTGAATAACTCTTGAATATAACAGAATCTAACTGTTCCTTCAAGTAAACATAGGTCTTCGGAACCATTCTTTGGAAATGGGCCGAGGATGTTCTGTCTAACCCTAGAACCATTATGTTTAAAGGTGCGTTGTGTGTTTCTTTGCGCTGCGCGACGTCGGGTATCTCTGAAATCGAAGCATGAAAATCTGTCTGCTGGGAGCCATCTTTAAAACGAACTGTCACTTTTAAAAAGTCACTATTTACATCGACCTCTCTCTTCGCTAAGTCTAGAAATCTCTTTTCTCCCAGTGATACGTTAAAGTCAGAAACACGAATCAAAGGCTCGGCAAAGACCTCATCAACTTGATGCTCTAACAAGGAGAAGAAAAGAAACGTCAATAAATAACCTTGCGGGTGAAAGGGGAAGTGGTAATTTAAAAGGGGATTTTTGAAACTAGGATATAAGAAAACATACCCCACATGGATACAAACTCAGAGAGACTCAACGTGAAGACGATTATAGTTGATTTTTTTTTCTCTATCAAAAATAACTTCAAAAATAGCTAAGCGTTCTAAAGGATACTACGTCGTTAGCTGTCTTTACAGCTTGAAGAATTTAACCAGATGATGTTCTAACTTTGTCATTTGCAACTCACTAAACCTTTTGAGTGTTAAAAGGCTGATAGTTTCTAAAGAAACTGTTTGCGGCTGCGTCGGTGGGGGTAACGAAATAATTTCAATATATCAACAAAGTTGAAATGGTAAATTGGCCACCGTTACGATAATAAGAGCTGACGTTTCGAGCGTTAGCCCTTTGTCATTCGCTCCGACGAAGGGCTAACACTCGAAACGTCAGCTTTTGATAATCGTAACGGTGGCTAATTTACCATTTCAACTTTGTTGATATATTGAAATTATTTCTTTGGGTGTTAATTCTCCCCTCTAGTTAGCTGCTAAACATTTCTTTGATAATTGGTCACGAGAATTTGGTGTTAGATCATGATAATAACTTCTACCTGATAAGTTAAAGCATTCTCATTACCTGTTTGCTAGATAACGTATTGACTTTATATGAAGAAATTATATGTTAGTCACTTCCGTTCTGGCATCCATTTTGAGCAAACCTTGTTCCTTCATGGTTCATCATTATGCGCCTCTGTCATGTTTTTCTCTCTTACCTAAGTGATAATTTTTAGACCTCTCCGAGGTGAAGGTACTCAGTTTGCACGATGGATAAAGATGACTTAAAACTTAATTACGTTTATTTTTCTTATTTTTTTTATAGGGATATTAACATTATCAGTATGCCCTAGTCATGATAATCGGTTCGATATAGAACGACAACCCCATTTCCTTTGTCTTGCTTTAGGATGACAATGCTTTTGTTCCTCCTTAGTTCCTTCAGGACTCTGTGCTTTTTGAATCGGCAGTAGTTGGCCAATGTTTCTTCATATCGGCCAACTACTGCCGATCTCAAGAAGCACAGAGTCCTGAAGGAACTAAGGAGGAACAAAAGCATTGTCATCCTAAAGATATTAACATTAATGATAATAATAAATGGGGTTGGAATCATCCTCCTCAACGAACCTTCACTAACGTTATCAAGAAGTCTTAACACGTTATCTTCATACTCTGTATATAGTCTTCCTGTGCATTTGATGGATCGTACGGGTTTGAGAGATTCCATAATAACAGCCAGAAAGGGCTCCACTGTAGCAATTTTACAACCCGGTCTCCCGCCATCTGAATGGGAGTTGTTGTTGAAGACAGCCATAGGTAATGCGTATGCACCTTGGTCGTGAAGAATATTTGAACGGTTGAAGGTGAAAAGAGTCGTATACCGAAGCCCGTTGGAGAACTTTGTGACGTATTCTATGTATCTTATCAGCGTTAAAGCGGTGAGCGCGAATGCAAGTGACGCAAGAAGCCTTAGGATACTTACATTGACAGCCGCCATGTGGTAGTGGAACCCTATAAAAACAATTTAACGTTTATGACTTGAATTTATTTTATGAAATTGAATTTTCCTGGACATAGCTGTAGATATTTGGGTTATTTCATAAGAGGGGAGAAGGGTATGAGGAAAAAAAAGAAGGAGCTTTCGTTAGATTAATTTTATTCCCCTCTTCCCCCACATCATTTTGTCCCTTGAAATAAGCCTTCCTGTTAAACTAGGAACCAATCAGTTCACAGTAAATCTTATTACCGATAACAGGGATTTTTAGCAGTCAGGACTGCAACTCTGAGTAACACGCTGATTAAAAAATGAATATATATTTTTAGTTGAAATTATTCAAATTGCTGAATGTATTTGCTGTCTCTTACGGCGCCACACTTCAACTTCATCGCAACATGTGTGAGAAGCGTTGAATTCCAATTTGAAACTTAAATAATTTGATGATTTCGCGTGGTTGTTTTGGAGAGGAAAGCTAAAAAAATGTACAAAGTTTTAAAACGAACGTGCTGAGCTGATGTTTTGCCTATTGGATCTTTGTTTCGCCACGTTCTCGATGACGTCGTCGTCACCTTGGCTTTCTTAAGGTCCCTGTTACCAACCAAGAGCTACTTAGTAATTTTCTACAGGGAATGTATACTTTTGGAGCTGTTTTTTTTGCAAGTACATCGTTGATATTTACAAACCTACATCTTAAATCAATAAACTGACTTAGAGAAATTCACAATCGTGTGGCACGGATGTGTCGCGGAGTGTAAGTTTCCTCATAGACGCGAATTTTTTTTTTCTTTTGTTTTGCTTTTTTTTTATCTTTAGCGCAAACAGAATTTTCCGATTTGGTGTTACTGATACTTCCATAGAAAATTTTCATTTTTCAGAGATTTTCTACTGAAACAGCATCACATCAACAAAAAACCAAGTGAAGCTAATATTTTTCACCGATTGATTTGTACCGAGGAGAGTTAAAGGAAAAAAAAGAGAGCTTCGCAAATGGGTATTTAGAGTGATTCCTAAAAAGAACAGCACGAAAAGACAAACGAATCGCGACCAAAGGTTCTCTTTCTCTTTAATCAATAGTGCGAAGTTTCGTTCGCCACATTTTTAATGATAATCCGAAAATTCATGACACACGGCATTAAACGTGGTGAGCGTCGAAATTAGGTCACCAGGTTCTAGCTATAGTGAACAAAGCAGGAAACAAAATTCCGAAGTACTCATATATGAGTTTCATATATTCAAGTTCATTAATAGAGTTTATGTTCGCGGGTATAAATTATATGTTAGTAGATCCCCACTGACTGGAATTCCTAAGGGAATCCAAAAATGGTTGGATTTAGCGGATAGTAAATGACTGAAAAAAATTGGGTCAATGAAAATCAGATCTTGTTCGAGTTACCGTGGGGTTCGAGTTAGCGGACGCTATCACTTTGGGACCTTTTTGTCCGCCGACAAACAGTCGGCGGGCAAACACAGTCAGCCAAAATGTCCATTGAAGTCCGTAAAATTCGCGTTTCGTGCCTGTCAAAAAGTACTAATTCCCAATGCACAACTTTGGTCAAAGTTCTGACTGATAAGCTTATAGAGAAAACTTCGCTTTCATTTTGATAGAGAGACTTATTTTTTTCCCCTTCAGCAATAAAAATAATCATTCCATGTGTTGTAGAGTATTCTAAAGGATTGCTTTTTTGAGTATTTTTAGGTTTACCTTTTGTTTTGATGAGTCTCGCCTTTTTGCGTCTACGTTGTTATTTTGGTAGATCTATAGTTTTGATTATTTATTTTTAGTGTGCTTGAACTTGGCTCAGTTCTTACCGTGCTAGACATTTTAATCGCTTGTTATGGTTGAGGATAACTAGTTTGCTAGGTGGTCATGTTTGGGTTAGCTGACCGTGGGAATTTCCAAAACAGGATTTTCAGTGTGGGTAAAAATCAAGGTCAGTTTTACCAACCCAAACACGACCACCTAGCAAAATAATTATCCTCAACCATAACAAGCGATTAAAATGTCTAGCACAGTAAGAACTGAGCCAAGTTCAAGCACACTAAAAATAAATGATCAAAACTATAGATCTACCAAAATAACAACGTAGTCGCAAAAAGGCGAGCCTCATTAAAACAAAAGGTAAACCTAAAAATACTCAAAATAGCAATCCTTTAAAATACTCTACAACACATGTATTCACCGCTACGCTAAGTTATAATAATTCAAAACGTGCTGCGTGCCAAACTTTAAAAAGTTAATAAAGATCGATGTCATATTTGTTCAAGTTACGAGATCCCGCCTTACAACTTCTTTTACTTTTACTTTTTTTTTCTTTTACTTTTTTCTTTTACAAATTGTTCATATTGTTGCAGGACTTACCTGTCGGAGGACTCCACCAAAGAAAAGAAAACAAAGCAAAAGCTACTTTACCTTTATGGTCTTTCTTCTTTAAAATGACTAAATCATATTTCTTATTTAAAACGTCAAACATTCCAGTTTTGCATGACAACCATAAATGTGTTGCTAACAAAGGTTTACTTAAATAAGAGCCATCAATAAAGAAATTATTCCAAAAAAAGAGCTTGGAATAATTTCTTTTTTAAAATCGAAAGTGCACTCAGGATAAGCATTTTGTTCTTAGACATCTCAAAGTTTAGTTTATTCAATTTTTTTAATAGGTAGGTGTTGCATATATAAGTTGACTATTGTGATAGTAATCATACAGGCGATTGGATGATTGCACAACTTTATTTTTAAGAGTGAAAATTTTTAAGCTAATATCTAAAGAAAGTGCTTTGAATTCGGGATTCGTTTTTACACATAGGATAGCTCATTTAGAAGCTGTAATAGGCCATTTCCGAGCTGAACCCTCGGCCTCTTTCTCAAAACGAGGCCTGGTACTCAATCACGTTTGTGAAAATGAGTTTAATTTGCATGTGAATACAAATTTATTTTATATGCACTAAGACTCGCTTTTTAAAAAAACAGGCTCTAGGTAATTCGGGAATGGACAATTTAGAGTGCTTTTTGGAACAGTTTTTAGTGCGAGCTTGTATTAATATATATCTAAATAGGCAAAAATCGATTTGTTTCAAAGGAACAATGGTACTTTTAATTGAGAATCTACGAAATTATTTTCAGTCACACCTCTTTCACCTAACAATAGTCTTTCGTTATTTCTTTCTGAAATTTCTAGAATTAGCGATTAAGTAACAAGCCTGCGGTGCAGGTGTCTTATTAGGGCAAGTTGACATCACATGGTTGATTTAGAGTTAAAGTGTATAGTAGGGGGGTGGGGTGGGGATGAAAGACGACAAGACACCGTTATTTCTATTTCCCCACCCCTTCCCGCTCCTTCCTTTTTGACTGTCTCTCAGTCCCTCGGTAGAGGTTTCTTTCTTACCCCAGTCATCCGCTACTGTATAATCAAAGATGGCAGCTATAGTTTTCACCAAGAAAATACTGAGAACGCGCTCGCCAAACTCAAATAAATACCGCCTTCTCCGCAGGCTATCAAGTTTTCTATCATAAATAAACATAGCACGCATCGTCTGATCGGTCAATTCAGTTTTCAAGCGGATGCTTCAGCAGGTTTTTAGAGCCCGCATTTGTTAAATTCATGCCATAACAGCAAAAGAATACATTTTTTCCGGGCTCTATAACGAGATAAAGTCCATTTCGGTGTTGGGAGAACAAGAGGAAAGCTTCTAAATCTCACGTGGCTTTATCACGTTATAGAGCCCGGAAAAATTTGTTCCATTGCTTAAATAGATGTCATATTGCTATTCGTACTGAACTCATACCGAGTCAATGTTTTTGCAGCTATCGGAACCTACGTCTAAAGGCTCGGGAAATTATCAGAATTTTGACAAAACGCTCGTGAAATTATTTCCTAATTTCACTCGTCGCCATTTGATTACACATACTAATTTCAGATACAATGAATATATGAAGTTCATATATTTTGAACTGCGGTATTAGATACGTATGATGCACGATCCTCGCAGTAGATAGCGCTATTTATGCAATAGCGAAAATCAGACCTGAAAAAAATCAGGCCTGTACGGGACTCGAACCACTGACCTCTGCGATACTAGTGCAGCGCTCTACCAATTGAGCTAACCGGGAGGCGGTTAGCTCAATTGGTAGAGCGCTGGAGTAGTATCGCAGAGGTCAGTGGTTCGAGTCCCGTACAGGCCTGATTTTTTTCAGGTCTGATTTTCGCTATTGCATAAATAGCGCTATCTACTGCGAGGATCGTGCATCATACGTACATACTAATTTGCATGTTAGCAAAAATGTAAGGCAAAACATATGTAACTCGTATTTCCTTTTCAGAAATGACCGTCCCTCATTGCAAGTCTCCTCTTAAAATTAACCATTCCAGTTACAACCCTTTGGTATGTGGCAAGTTGGCCATGAGGTAAATCCGAGCGTTGTGATTGGTTCTTACTGGGTCCGTATTTTGCCATACGAACAGTTTCCACGGAAACGGTCATAAGACGAGCATTTTTGTTCGCGAAAGCCGGCAAAGTCAAAATAACCTAGTTTGGTCCGAGTGCTTTACTATGAACTTCCTACTAACCTTTCTTGCTAGAGCCGTACTGGGGAATATTAACTAGGTCGTTTCTGGATGCTGCGCTCGGTCCGTACTGCCTCGACCTCGGGCCAATTTTCCCCAGTACGGTTTTCATACTGAGTTGGTAAGAAGTGAATAATAAAGAACTGTCCGTTATTTACACAAACAGTAAGGTCGCATAGACGGTACAGGCTCATAAATACACCGCGGCTGTTCACCGTACATATTAATACGATCCAGTTTGCCATAAACTTTAAAGTTTCCGGATAAGTCCATCCTGACTAGCCCTTCAAATATGCCATCACCAGGTGTGGTTTGAAATTGAATTTGATAAGTGCACATGGTTTGTTCAAGATCTAAAGTGAGATGTGTTTCACTGCTTGGTTGACTCTGATAAGCTTCAACGATCATCTTAAGTTTAAGCTGGTGGCATAATTCGGCTGTCATCGAATGTGACATTAATAGCTCGTTGATGTGGTCCACCGCAGTTCTAACAGCTTCCATCGAATGCGGATGATTTAAACTAATGGGGTGCCACTTTAAACACGGGCAGTAATATTCCGGAATGCCCGTATCGCTACAGGTTCTGCTGATAGAATAAGGCTCGAAAAAGCTTTTACCTGTTGTATCGCTCTCCATAAAATTCTTTCTTGGGAACGCTAACAGATGTTTTATCGTTTTATGAAGATCGAACGGTGAAGAAATAAAGTGAGTATTTTTAACCAGAGCTGCCATTTGATCCGGATAACTGCGTTTAAACCAAGTAGGAAAGGTGAAAGAAAGAAATGGAAGTCGCTGCTCTAATTTCCCCTGGGGACTTTGTCTCACCTCTTCAAATCTTGCACCGTGGTCGGACATGGTGATGAACATGGTATCATTCAAAAGATTCTCTCGTTGAAGAGACTCGAAAAAGGCTGTTATTCCGCCATCAGCAGCATGGACAAGACCAGGTTCACGATGACACAAATCGGAAAAAAAAGTGAAACCAAATTTCCTTTTCCCGGGATATGATTTCATGTAGCTTTTGAGGTATTTCAGCTGTACCTTGTACTGCTGCTGAGATTCTAAGCAGAGCTCCTTGGGCGTGGTTAACCATAGGGTTCTTCCGTAATGGTCCGTGGGTTGCTCGTTAAATCCGTTCAGTCTGAGAGTGAATGTGCCTTGGGACAAAAAAATAAAACAACCTCTGTCATTTCATATCAACTATTTTACTTCTAGGAATGACTAAAATATAATTTCTCCAAACAACATCAATACAATATTACGCAGCCAAGTAACGAGAATAGAAAAAAATATCAACTAAGGGATTATTATTTGATCCAAAACCAAAGTCTTAGAAAAAAAAAAAAAAAAAAGAAATGTATGGCCCACAGTAAAGAGAACTCTGGGTGTGAAAAGCCGTACATCAAGCGCATGCGCTGTCTCCGTCGCAGTTTGTCTTCAAAACTAACAGGAGAAACGATTGGATCGACTAAAGGGCTACTATCAAGAGACGATAAACCTAGGAGAGTAAATCCGAACTGCAACAAAGTTTGCCTGAAATCTTATGCACGATGGAGGCTATCACATTTCCAGGCGTGGACACAAATTGAGTTCGATCTTTGAGCAAGAGATATTATTAACAAGATATTCTGTTTATCGTGAAGATAATCATGTTAATCAAAAGTCCTAAATAAAATGCAGTGGTTGGACAAGTTTTAGAGCAACGGATGCAAAGATTACCAGCACATAAAATCAGCACGCAACAAAGTTATGTCACAAAAAAAAAAAAATCTCATTGCAGAAAATGTCTTCCTTTCTCTCTTAAAAAAAAAAATATTGAATTTAATTTTAGTGAAGCTGACAAACTGTAGCAAAAAATAGCCGATGGCCGTGTCGCAAAAAAAAAACCTTTGTAGCCAAAAATTCACTTGCCACCTTATTTACTACTCGCGAGATCCACGGAAATGCATGCGCGCGCAGCTTGGAGGCTTACTATGTCTCTTAATCATCGAGGGACTCGGCCTTACCCAAGAGGTAATCATCTTCACTCCACATCGTAACTATTCCGAGACGTTTCATATCTTTATATATGAAGGGCCACACGTCTACAAATGTAGAGGCTGGGTACTCTTTCCTTCCTTCACTAAAAGCGCAGTTCTCCTCCAATGACCTTCCCGTCAAAAGTGCAGTCAGTTGGGGCGTCGTAGACTCTCCTACGACTGAGTAACCTCTCACTATGATGGAATCTAGCTTGTCTTTCAAGTAAGTATATGTTTTGGGTAGCATCCTCTCAAAGTGCGCAGCCGATGTTCCATCGAATGCCAGAATCATTATGTTTAAGGGGGAGCTGTGCGTTTCTTTCCGCTTTGAAACTTCGGGAATTTCTGAAATCGAGGCGTGAAAATCTGTTTGCTCTGATCCGTCTCTAAAGCGAATGGTCACCTTGAGGAAGTCATCTTCCATAATGGCACTTCTGTTATTCAGGCTAAGGAAGGTCTTCTCTCCGTAGGTCGCATGGTGATCTGTAATTCGAAGGATTGGCACTGCAAACACCTCTTCGATTTGAGACTCTGCAAAAAAAGAGAAACTTAGTTCAAATAGGCCTGGTGTACCAAAATCCTGAAAACATACCCATTCAGACTACAGAAAAGTTGCTCACCGATTCCAAGACCCTTCTTGTTGTTCACGAATTACAGAAACGTTTGACTGTACTCTTACAACCGTTGTCATCATATTGTCTTCATTAGGGTTTTCAACATATACATCAAGGACACAGTGAAAAGAAACCTGAGGCGGGAGAACATTGCAGAGGCTTACTTGGGAGCGGCGAGCGAAGGACAGAAAAACCTGGAGGAACTTGATTAGGGTCTGAACTCTTGGTGAAACAGTTACTGTCGAATCGACAGACTGCATAGTAGTAGCAGTGGTATTCAAACCTGAATCGCATGATTGAATAAAATCTTGTATTCTGATTGGTTAACGAAGCCACGGATATTCTGCATGGAATTGCGAGTTGAAAACGAAACTGAGTGATATTGTTTCGCATCTCTTGTTACGCGCTCAGGATAAAAAAAAAAACCAATATTTCTGTCTTATTTTTTCTTATTTTCATTCAATTATGTGATTCAAGAAAAATCCATTGAAAACCGATATTGTACTCATCCCTTTGCGATTCCTGCGATATCGGTTTCCGCGTGCAATTTAACGCGGAATTCCCTCGTCAGGCATGAATTTTCTCATAGAATTACTTCCACGACAACCGCGACCCATTTAAACGTATTTAAATTACTATGCAGACACTTAATAAACAAGGTCCTGAATATCCACAAGGAAGAGTTGAGCAAACAAAAATCCCCGTCATATGCAGTGATTATACCGCGTGGCAAATCATAAGAGAAGAAACACGTGTAGAAGCTTGATTTGGCCAGGAGCGTTTAACCATATTAAACCACCTCAACATGTTTTTGAGCTTTATATTTAATAACATGCCGATTTTCCTTGTTATTAGTTGGATTTGAATAATAAGAGAGCTATTGAGCTCGCAAGAGTCGAACATGGTCAGATGTAGAGAGGCTCGGCCAAATCCAGTTTGCACCCTTCGAGTTGGCCTCCTACTTTACAAATCCCTCCCTGCTAAACAATGCACCCTTTCGTCTTAGGGAAAACTTGTGACAAACGGACTTCTCATGACGTGTAAATCATTTTCTCAATTTGAGGCCAATTATCACTATTTATTTCATATATACTGAGATGTTCACTGTAGAGTACTACCGTTGGCGTCTCTGATTTGACGAACGATATCTTTTCACAGTCGTTCGCTTCCAATCTTTGAAATGTGTCGGTCAGTAAGAAAAGAAATCTCAGTATGTATGATATAAAAACATCACGCCATGAAAAGTGTGCACGAACGATCATTGTGCAATCGTTGGGATGCATAAAAAATCTCAGTTGTTCGCTGCGCTCATTCGACCCTTTTTTTTTTATTTTTTGTTTTTTGATGCATTGCAACTCGTGAATAAAAATAGTTCGTGCGCACTTTCCGTGGAATAATCTCTATTTATCGCCTAAGAGGTCGAAGAAATTTAACTAATACACCCCCCCCCCCGGCTAAGGCTCTAAGTAATCTGAGGGTCCCCTCATTGGCAGTCAATTTTCTATATTTCCCCCTTTTTATTCTGTTAGCGCCGACTGATCCACCTTCGTTACACATGATAATTATGTGATCTCCCCAAAATCCTTCCACCCGCCCCTCCCCTCCCACCCCCTCTTCAGTCGTTATAAAAAGACTGGTCCCTAAAACTGAAACAAAACAAGAAAAACAAAATAAAAACAAAACACAAATCGGCCGTAAACTAACCTTCATTGACATCGTCAAGTAGTCTTAACACGCTATTTTCATATTCGGTGTACAATCTTCCAGTGCAGTCTATTGACTCTACAGGCTTGATAGCTTTCACCACGTATGGACGGAAAGGATCCAGTTTAGGAAGTTGGCATTTCTTACCATCATGAGAATGGTTAGTATGAATATGCGTTATTGCGCATGTCGTTCGGGAGAACTTCGTGTCCCAGTCAGTACGAAAGGAAAGGTCGATTGAGCTACCGACTTTCGCCATGTAGACATTTAACAAAGGTTTCGTTCTAACGAGGTACATCTGTTCCAAGAGTGTCGCAATAATAATAAGACAGATGAAAACGAGGAGGATTTTTAGCCATTTTCTGCGTTTAAGTCTGAAAAATAACTGCAATGAAAATACTTCAATCAGCTCTCACATTCGGTCACTATAGATATTTAGTTATGGTGACCCGTGCGTTCCGCGCGCTTTTATCGAAAAACATTTAGCGAAAATGCCCTGCCGTAGGCAATGCGCGAGTAGGGCCGTACAAAGCGGTCCTAACAGAGCAAAGAAAAAAAAGAACGATGTACATATGATAAAATATTTGGCTGTCGGTCATGACCCACGAAATTTGCTTATGATGCACGAAGCTTGCTGCGCTTGGTTCATAGGTCATGACCACGAAGGAAATATTTTCCCGTCCTGTCCTCCATCTCCGTCAACAATTACTTATTAAAAAGCGAACTTATTCGCGAAAAAATTTGAAAATGGGTAGTTTTCACTATGTGCGTCAGTTTTCAACCATAACACTGAGAGAGTGAGACAGATTTCCTTTCTCTAGTCCAATGATTAATTTCCCACGAGTTATCATGATTGACTCATTATTGACACGTGTCAGAGAAAGCTTTCCGGGCTTTCAGAGTAAACTTTTTCATTAGAGCCATTAACAAGTTTTCTCAGGAAATGTTTAAAGTACATAAATTCTCCATAAAGTCTAAATCCCAGGCTATTCCCAGATGAAACTAACGCTGAATTATCTATTTTCAAATGAAATTTATTTTCCACGTTCTTCTTTTTCCCTACACAAATTTTAAAATTTCGGTTTTAGCTTACATGTAATGACAGCCTAGCGCTGTCGCCTGAAACTTTCTCCTATCACATGAGCAACAAAAGGGACCTTCAGCACGCCGAGAAAGACGTCGTCTTAAAAAATGAATTCATATTTTCAATAAGATAACTTGCGGATATCTTAATGTTTATCATCTATGACGGCGCTACACTTCAACTTCCGACGGTATCAAGTTTATGAACGACGTTAAATTCCAAATTGGTACTCAAACAATGTGCCGTCGTGGTTTCTGTTCTGAGACCAAACAAATAGTAAAACGCACGAGAAAAGCTTACTCAGGTCCCTAAAGACAAAAAGACTCGGCAGAGCCTTGTTAATTTATCCTTTTCTCGTTCTATTAAGCACTGAATATTCATAAACTCAATTTTTTTGGATCTCTTTATTTTGCTAATGACTATTGCTTTCACTGTCTACCCATAGTCCCTCTGTTAAGTGACCCGTATTTATCTGTCTTTTTCGACAGGTAGGCGAAACTAATACTAGCTTAGGACAAACCTTTTGGAAATAAATCCTCTTTTCGGAAAAAAGAAAGTCTCTTTCCCTTGGATCGTGAAGCCCCGAAGGAAAAAAATAAAACAATACGAAAGCGCCATGTTATTGTCAAGGGTTAGTCGATATCTTATGGCATATGGTCAAAAGCGTGTCACGGTGCATATGACAATTTTGTGTAACGATTCATTTCGCAATCTGCTTTCGGTTCAACAAAGGAACACTTATGCTGGATTTCATTCACGAAGACTCACAAGATTATTTAGTTATTCACGGCAGAAATTACGGTATTTCCACGGCTGCTTTGGTAATTGTCGGGGCTCTAACTGAAGGCATGAATGGACAAAACGGTGGACAACAGCGAACTTCCCATTCAAATATTAAAATTCAATGCGTGTGTCTTCCCCAGTTCGATATCAAGACTGTATCATCGAAGGACATTTTCCGGTTTAAAATAATGAAAATTTTTGGTTTATTCCCTTCAGTCTGCGGTTCATAGTTCATATTCATCATCACTTTTCATTTGTATTACTTCAGTTTATTAGCATTCCTCCATTGTTGTTGTCCACCGGGTACGCTCCAAACACCTATCGCCGTTCTCACCCAAATCAAGAATAGGTATGTCACTTCTGTTTCATCAAAAGTAATTAAGAGTAAATTACTTACACTGAGTAACCTTTTCGAAACGAAAAAAAACATAATATTCGTTCGCCTTCAAGGAAAAGACATTTTTCAAATGATTGATTGTTACTTAAAAACATGTTTTCCAAAGCAGGAAATCGAATGCAAAATTTTACCAGTATTCTCACTCTACTAACGAAATTTAGTGGTTACAATGGATAGATATTAAGGACACATCTTGTAGAAATACAGATATATCGGTGTTTTCAGTTATGGACTCACCTTCATGGCTTCAGCGGATTGCTCAGTTCAGCTCTCGTAGAAGACGCTTCGAGTATCTTTCCCGCTGTCTTTGGAGATGTCACGCTGTGGTCACACCATCACCATTCAATGAGTTCAATGTTTGATTGTTAACCTGTTTGGCGAGCTTGTTTAGAGCATGACGTTGACTGTTCCTGTACAGCCGCGAGGAAAATAATCATAAAATGCAATAAAGAATGTTTTCAGCGTTAAACCGGCAGAAAAAAGGGATTACTCAGCCCTAGTATTTGTAGAAGAAAATAACATAGACAATGAAACAATTCTTGAGCGATGTGAAATAAAACATACACTAGACAGATTTGATAATGCTTAACATAATTTTCAAAAACGAAATTTAAAACCTCTTTCACACCAAAGCCAAAACAGGTTGTCAAACACGGTTTGTAATGTTTTCTTCACTGAATTAATTTAAACTGACGTATGCCAACTTCAAATTTAGCACGATAAGTTTAAAATTTAGTGATTACTTGAACCTTGTGCGAAATTTAGTTTTCGGTTTTTTTATTGCTGATTTTTATTTAATGCCTCTTGGTTTATTATTTGCTGGTGTTGTAGTGCATAAGAATATTCCAACTCAGGAAAATTCAGTAAGGCGAAAGATTTCTTTGGATTTGCTCCATCTCTTCTCATTCTTCGTCTTTTACGACAAATAACCTCGTTCGCAAGGGTCTCTCATCTTCCAGCCCCCCGGAGCGGAAACGAGGTTATACAACAAACGCAAATTTTCCTTTTGTCCCGTCAAGACTATGGACAAATCTGGCACTGTGACGTCACTTAAGTTAGAAGAGATAAGAATCAAAGATAGGAATCAAAGATAGGAATCAAAGACAGGAATCAAAGATAGGAATCAAAGACAGGAATCAAAGATCCTCGTGTTTGCGCAGAGACCTTGAGCGCGCTGTGAAAGACGTCGTCTTAAAAAATGAATTCATATTTGCAATAAGATAACTTGCGGATATCTTAATGTTTATCATCTCTGACGGCGCTGCACTTCAACTTCCGTATCAAGTTTAAGAACAGCGTCGAATTCCAGATAAATACTCAAACAATATGCCGTCGTGATTTCCGTTCTGAGACCAAACAAATAGTAAAACGCACAAGAAGAGCTTGCTTAGGTCCCTAAGGACAAAAAAGACTCGGCAGAGCCCTGTCAATGAATCCTTTTTTTGTTCTATTAAGCACTGAATATTCATAAACTTAATTTTTTTGGGATCTCTTTATTTTGCTAATTAATGACTATTGTTTTCACTGACTACCTATAGTCCCTCTTTTAAGTGACCCGTATTTATCTGTCTTTTTCGACAGGTAGGCGAAACTGATACTAGCTTGGGACAAACCTTTGGAAATAAATCCTCTTTTTTGGAAAAGAAAAAGTCTCTTTCCCTTGGAACGTGAAGCCCCGAAGGAAAAAATAAAACAAGACAAAAGCGCCATGTTGTTGTCTGGGGTTAATCCACAGGGAGCCCACACAAGCGGCCCACACAAGCGGCGTGTCTGGTCGTTCGTTTGTATAGTATTAAATAAATTAATCAGTAGTTTCACTAGTAACCTTTGTGGCTTCCTTTGGTGTTGATGTATGGGATCCCATGAAAATGGGTTCCCACTCCACTGATGAGCAATCTCGTGATCAGTGGGTAAAAAAGGAACAAAGCGTATGCAAGGGTGGCGATGAGTGTGTAAAATGAACATAAAAGTTAGGTGTTAAAATTGAGGGAGCGACTTTTGTAACAACGCTCATAAACTCAATTTAAAATTGTAAAAAATATATGTTATATATTATTAAAATAAAAAATCAAATAAAAATAAAATAAAATAAAATGAAGTTAAAATATTATATAAGAGTAACTGTTACAAAGAGGGGGAAGCATTTAGGGTTTAGGGTTAAATTGCTAATGTTATATTAGAGTTTTGGTTATAGTTGGGGTTAGAGTTATATTAGGGTTAGGGTTAGAGTTATATTAGGGTTAGGGTTAGTGTTAGTTAGGGTTAGGGTTAGTGTTAGATTAGGTTTAGGGTTAGGGTTAGTGCTAGAGTAGGGTTGGGTTACCGTTAGGGTTTGGGTGGGGTAAAGGTTAGTAATAGGTAAGGGTTTGCTTAGGGTTTGTGAACTGGGGTCTCTGTTTTTAACTGTAGGAAGGGAAAAGGGGTTAATGATAGCGTATGAAAAACGGATTATTGATAAAAAGAAAGTAATCTCCTTTTACAATTATTTTTGTGGACAGGTGACTGCAGGAATGGGAAGGATATAGGTAGACGAGGAGCAGTCTTTAGTCTTATTACCTTCTTGATAAGTGGTTGTAGGGGATGTGATGAAAAACGGTATCTTTAATTGAATCTTTAATTTAGATGAGTATTCCTTCCGTATTAGCACCGCTTTCTTTGTTTTTCAACATAAGCATTGCATTCTCCTCGCGTCTTTTGCGTTGACTGTCACTCTACTGTATAAGAC